TCATGTTCTCTGATGTCTTCTACGGTTGTGTCATGTTCTCTGATGTCTTCTACGGTTGTGTCATGTTCTCTGATGTCTTCTACGGTTGTGTCATGTACTCTGATGTCCTCTACGGTTGTGTCATGTTCTCTGATGTCTTCTACGGTTGTGTCATGTTCTCTGATGTCTTCTACGGTTGTCTCATGTTCTCTGATGTCTTCTACGGTTGTGTCATGTTCTCTGATGTCTTCTAGAATTTTTTCTTGTTCTTCGATGTTTTCTAGGATTTTTTCTTGTTCTCCGATGTCTTCCACGGTTTTGTCTTGTTCTCCGATGTCTACTACTGTTTTGTCTTGTTCTCCGATGTCTTCTACGCTTTTGTCTTGTTCTCCGATGTCTTCTACGCTTTTGTCTTGTTCTCCGATCTCTTCTACGCTTTTGTCTTGTTCTCCGATTTCTTCTACGGCTTTGTCTTGTTCTCCGATGTCTTCTACGGTTTTGTCTTGTTCTTCGATATCTTCTACGGTTTTCTCATCGGTGGTTTCCTCAACAGCTGTCATTTCACGGGATTTGTTTTGATCCTCGATGTCTCCTACGGTTTCCTCAAAAAATACTCCCTCATCTTCAACCACGGTTTCTTTCTTAATAGATATTTCATCAACTATAATCTCTTCTTTATTAATAGGCATTTCTCCAACTATAATTTCTTGCTTTACCGGAAATTCTTTAACTTCTTCCTCAATAACATTGCTTTCTTCGACAGATGGTTCCTTCTTAATTGCTTGTTCTTCGAATATACACTGTTCCTCAACTAGGGTTCCTTCATTCAACAACTCTTGCTCTTGTTCATTCAAATCATTAATATCTTTTGACTCCTCGGTTTCCTGCACGTATGTAGTGGTTAAAGATTCCGGTTCATTCAATAAAGGACTTTCGGGTTGAGAGGGTAGTTCGACAGAAACCACGTGATTCATATTTCCGTGATCATCGGGGTGGCTGGGATGTTCATGATTTAGAACCCAGTTGCCATCAACCACGAATTTATAAAGATATTTCTTTTCTGGCATTAAGTTAAGGGTGACTTTAAACTCAGAAGAATCACCATCTTTTTTCATGTCAATTGGAACCCATTGCTGGTGTGGAGGGTCGAAAGTACCGGCCAGCTGCACGTGTGAGCCCCAATGTGGCCAGCTAAACGTTTGCGGGATAGTATTTTCGGACATTATGCGACGATGGTGAATGTACAATTTGGATTGAAACCTAAAGCGTCATTAAGAAATCCGAATGTCATTTTATAGATGCAAGAAATGATAATTCACTAGCGGCACTGATATCGATCGTAACGTGATCGATCAAAGTAGCATCATTAGAATATCTCTTTACCTTTAAGATTCTCTCGAGACTTCGGTTTGAGTGGCAAGGAGGGATCTACTATACAGAGTGTATGTGTGATGTTTAAAATAAATAAATGAACAGTGACAAGTGTGATAAAATGTATAACGACTTTTACGGCCTTCAATTAAGATGGCCTTTGAAATTTACAAAAAGAAAATGGGAAGGATAATGCCGTCAAAATATGCCTTTTTATTTTCTCTCAGAGAACAAATAATCACGCATGTATAATTAGATCAAATAAGGGTAGGGCTTGTGACAATTCCGGTATAGGGTTTTGATTTTGATTCTTTTTGACAAAGAGTAAATTTAATAGGAAAGATAGCTTTTAATTATTACAACAAGATAACGATCAAAAAGGGAAATTGGCGTAGATTGTGCGAATAATACGTATAAACAAGAGCATAAAGAGTATTTCCCACGTTTAAAGACGAATCTTCTCTTACATGGGACAACTGTGAAAATCCATCACGCATTCCATAAAGAAAGATTATGCTAGAAAAAAAAATGCTTGCATACAGCCCGCAAAGACCAAGTCTTGTGTCAAAAGGGTTTTAGTGGACAAAAAAAAATTTTCCCAATAATTTTATAACAGGAGTTTTATCAATCAAAATCATCATCGCGCATTTCGAGGGATTCGATCATCAATTTTTTGACTACTTTTCACGCCGTTTTCATAGTTTAATGATTTGATCTCCGGTTAACCAGAATCATAAAATTCCTCATGTTCAATTGACACCCCCAACAAAGCTGCTATTATCTTTTTTTAAAAAGTGATAAAGATCAACTTCTCGCCTATTCATGAGGTAAAAAAAAAAAACGATATGACCATCGATTACATAAAGACACTCAATAACACCCCAACCTTTGACGGTTACTCTCGTCGTCTTGTGTGACTTCCTACAAAGGCATTAATCAGGACGACACATGAAAATAATCATGAAAAAAAAATTTTTTTACTTACGAATGTTACACCGTAATTCGAGCACCGCGATTGTTCAAACTCACCAATCCATTTCTGTATGGACGATGACTAAACGCATACAGGTTGAACAACAAAACTCCAAGTCCTCATTGCTATTTACGATGATAACGCAACGTCTTGACAAAGACGATGTTGACCGATCTGATTCTATAATCAAAGAAATGAACTACAGTTTTGCATCTATGGCGTGCTGAAAGATTGTCTGCGAGATGCAAACTGATGTTCCATAACCTTGCCGGACTGAAATGACAAATGTGACGGAATCCAACAAATTCGTATAGATCCTCAACACGTTTTCACCTATGTCAATCTCTATTTGTTATTTTCTCCGCAATTTTTTGTGGGCACGTACGTGTCTTCATCAGATTCGTAGAAATTACATCATACACATACCCCATTTATCGCTTCAATGCAGCGAGCGACCTTTAATGTGTCAAAAGAGGTATCGTGAATAAATTATATCATGGGAAAGAAGTGTCAAATGGTCATCGGTCACCCCGATGGAATAAATTCAATTAATAAAACTATTAGGAACATATTCAATCATTGACATGTGATCATGACCCAAAGTTTGTAATCTTTTTCGCATAAAACCGTCGGTCAATACAATCTTAAAATAAAAAAGTAACGTATATCTCTGATAATCTGATTATCTGAAACAGTTATATACATGTGTGCGGTAATTTTCGCTGGGTCGGGTCCAGATGGTAGAAACAAGTATTACGGTACTGATAAAAAACAAATATAAAAATTAATGATTTTCTAATTACAAAGAACCCGTCCTAATACACTCTTCTTAAATGCACTTATTATGTTTTCTTTCTTTTTCTAAAATTCTCTTCATAAATGCATATTTTTTTTAAACATATATTTTTTAAAAATTTTTAAAGGTTTCAAAAGAAACGTATTCAATATATTATTTCAACGTAATATTTAATGATTACTTTTTTGTTTTATCTAATATACTGTAATCTATCTATTCTCTTTAAAACATCAAGAATTTCTTACTTTTATTAATTAATACAATAAATTAAATTTATAACAAAAAAAATATCCAATATTTATAAAAAACAGATGATTGAAAAAAAGAATTAAATTTAAATTTAAATTTTTAAACGTATATATTTTTAATATGATTAAATAAATTATTATTTTTAAACATATAAACATGTTTGGTTTTTTTTATAATAAAGTAATATACGTAATTATAGTTTAATTAAATTATAATTATATCATCTAATTTGAATTATACATGCGATTGAATTTGATTTTGGTTATAATAGAATTGGTAGAATTAAATTAGATAACTGAATTGATAGAATTGATAGAATTTTATTATATAATATATAATTGAATTAATAAGTCTATTTCAATCTTTAATCATATTTAATTTACATGCTTTATTTTTATTTTTTTAATCAATTAGTTAGATCTTGTCTAATATAATATTTAATTTAATTTGTATTTTTTAAATTATTTTGTAAGCAAATTTGCTTATTAAATTAAATAATATTAATATTTTTTAAATAAAACAATAATTTATTAATAATATAGAATATATTTATTTTATAAAAAAAAATATTTTTAAGAATCTATTTTATAAAAATTATATTAATAAACTTTTAAACAATAAAAATTTCTTTAAGTTTAAGTTTTTTTATAATTTTATATATTTTTGAAAATAAAAAAAAAACTGTTTTATTTATAATACAAATTCAAATTTTTACAAATAAATTACAAAATTTATTATTTTTTAAAAATAGATTTAAATCAATAATATGATTTCCTTCTTTTATATAAATCTTATCCAAATAAAAACATATTTTTAAAATATATATATATTAATTAATCAGGATAGTTGGATTAACTTAAAAGAAAACTAATATTATTAAAAATAGTAATTATTAAATAATATTAATTTATATTTAAAATAATAATAGTTCAATTTATAAAAATATTTTTGGGGGTTTTTCCATAGATAAACATCATTTCTTTATTTAATTTGTATATAACAAGGTATATATTGTGAAAGAAACAACATCTCTTACATATATAAAGTAGCAAGTTAAATGCTAGCTTGCCTATGCATATATATTTAATTAATATTGAAAAAGAAATTCAAAACAATACTATATACTAGCTATATCTGAATATCAACTATATTTACCTACTTAGAAAATTTTGTAAAATCTTTTTGTTTTTTGAATGTAAAGTAATTGAAAGAAAAAGAAAAAATTAATGTTACTAAAACTAAAACTAAGTTAAATAGACTATAATATAAAATATATAAGTAGAAAATCAATTATTTCTTCAAGAGAGCTCCTAGACAAGCTCATGGTTTTATTTCTCCAGCTCTTTGATTACCATAGATAATAAAGTATATGTGATATTGTTTGTTATTATAGTAGTCATTGTTGTTGTTATTGTTGTATTGATATTGTTTGTTATTATAGTAGTTATTGTTGTTGTTATTATTGTATTGATATTGTTTGTTATTATAGTAGTCATTGTTGTTGTTATTGTTATATTGATATATTTGGTGATTGATATAATAACTGGTTTGATTATCAGTGATGTAGTTTTTTTGAACATTACTAAAACTAAAACTAAATTAAGTAAACTGTAAAATCTATAAGTAGAAAACTAATTATTTTCTCAAGAGAACCCCTAGACAAGCTCATAATCCTATCTCTCTAGCTCTTTGGTTACCATAGATAATAAAGTATATGTGATATTGTTTATTATTATAGTTGTTGTTGTTATTGTGTTAGTATATTTAGTGGTTAATATAATGATTAGTTTGTTTGTTAGTAATATAATTTTGTTTTAATTGTTATTACTAAAAGTGGTTTTGTTTGTATTGATCATTGTATAGTGTACTGGTGATACAAATTTGTTTTAATGTTTGATAGTATTTAATTTGTTGAATTTAAAGTAATAATCAATTAACAGAAGTAAATTAATTGTGGTTTTTTGATGAAAAATTTTTTGAGTAAGAATTTTTTGTTTTTTGTGATATATCAGTATATGCTGAATAATATTGAAAAGTAGGTATTGTATATATTGCTAAAGCTCCAAACTAACAACATAGACAATTTGAAATAAGGTTTAATTTTTTGAATAAAAAAGAAGCTATTTAAGCAAAAAGTTTATTTATTTAATAAAAAGTATATATCAATAAGAAGTAAAAATGAGAAGAATTCCAAGGAAAATTTGTAAAAAAACAACTGCTACAGGTCTTCTCTTATGCAATTTAAAGGAAAAATAAGCTTCCTAAACTTGTTTTTCCTTGGCCAGAGATTCCATTCCAATATATTAGTGTGTTTCTTTAATTTTTTTAAGGTTTTTGTAGTAAAGATAAAAAAAGTGTAAAAAACTTTTGGATATTGAAAATTGAAAAAAATTATTATAAAAGGAAATTTTTAAGAAAAATGTTATATATGGAAAAAAGTTTTTATTTGAACTCAATTTATAAAAATATTTGATAAAATAATAAAATATTAATTATTAATAAAAGTCTTATATCTAATATTTTTAATTAATTTAAAAAAAAACCTATTATTTTTTATAAAAATTATAATATTATATTAAAAATTATTTGTTTAAAATTAAAACCTTTTTCTTATAATATTTCAATTTGTAAATAATTTTTTTTTTAATAATATCATAAATAATAAATAATAAATAGCTAACAAAGGTCTTTTCTTATAACAAAAAAAATCTTTTTTAATTTATTGCAAAATATAAAAGATTCAATTAACTTTTTATAAAAAAATAGATACTTTAAAAAAAGTAAACACTTATTTAGATAAATATTTGCTTTACTAAATAAAACTTATATAAGTA